GGGTGTGGGTGTGGGTGTGGGTGTGGGTGTGGGTGTGGGTGTGGGTGGTTGTCCGTGGAGTGAATTTCTACCCACACCCGCACCCACATCCACACCCTAGTTTTTTTTTCGTTCTGCTTGTGCTTCAACCTGAAGATAGTGGAATTCAAAGGTGTGGGTATGAATGGAGAAATAATTTACACCCGCACCCACTCGTGTATCAGTTTCACTATTAGAGATGCATTGTTCTTTGAGAAAAAGAAGAATTAAAATCTACTTTAGATTTTATTAGCCACGTGATCAGATGGATATAAGATTACTCGACAAAATTTGTTCTAGTTGGCCATCATAATGTAATATCTTTGTCTGTAATTCGTGAAATTTTATCAGTTCACTTTGCGACTCAGTTTCTAACGCTACAAATACTCAATTGCTCTGGCCTGAGAAGTGCCTATTCTAAATAGCTATAAAGAGAATTTATTAATAAGTAAATGAATGTAACATTTTTTAAGCAATGTCTGTGACGATGTTCATTTATTTTTGTAGATGCAAAATTCTATTTCCTTCACTATTGACAAATTTCATTTGTTGTGGTATAGTAAAACATAAATGCCAGAAATATGTGATAAAAAAGATGATAGTACTGATAAATGAATCACGCTTCATTATACGATTATCATTATGCGCTCTTTCATTTGTATTCGTTGATGGATATTGATATAATTGGTCTGTTTCCGTATCAATAATGAAAAGGAATTTTAATGGATAAAACAGAATGTAAAATATATACCAAATTATATTTCGAATTGTCGATTGATATTTTGATGGTTGTCTTTTTTGACGTTGATGTTTAAGTAGGCGTCCTACAAAGGACTCTTCTAATGGTTTTGGATCATGCCGTGCTCGAATACGATCACAATATTCAAATACAGATTTGTATTTTGTAAATAAAGGTGGCACTATTGTCAAAGGTTTAATCAGTGAAGTTAATGTTAAATCAGCAGCTGTAAATTGATCATTAAATAAATATTGTTTTCCATCAATATTTTGTTTAATTTCTTCTAAAATGCATATTGTTTTTTCAAAAATGTGTTCTTCTCGTATACGATGAATTCCAAAACGAGCAATTACAATACATGAACCTATTAGACCACGAATATAAGAGAGCCAATCATCGCATGATATTTTTGCGTAGTTTCTGTCTATAAAAACAGAAAGAATAGCTGGCTTCTCACTAATCACATAAAGATATGCTAAACGTCGAGCATATAAACCTAATTCACTATCTAATTTCATACAATACTGGATAATAGTATCTTTTCCAACAGTCATATTTTGAGGAAATAATGTTTTTTTGTTTTCATAATGATTGTCAAGATAGAGTAGAATTGGTGTTGAATCAGAAATAAAAAAAGATTCATTATTTGGATCTTCAATAATGGGTACTAATTTCTGCAACGTCGATGGAGCATGTTCAAGTGTTCGAGGTTCACGGGGACTGTAATTAATTGATTTATATGGTAATGAATAAAAATCTAATGCCCAACGAACTTTATCACAAAAATGTGAAAATGGAATTTGATATAAACGTATTGGCTCCAGTTTTTCTTTTTGCGAGTACAATTCACCAACAAAAATATTTTTTATCTCGTATGTATTTCTAACTAGATAAAAGCACAAATGGTTTTACAGGCATTACACAACATCTTAGAAAAAAAAAACACTGAATCGATAAGAAACAAAAAAGAACTGAAAAAACAAGATACAACGTCGTTAGGAAAAAAAACAACAATGCTTCTAACAACTCGTTCTATGACTAGATGGACACTCCGATACGTGATGTAAAAAACGGAACGCATTATATGAAAGGGTATAGGCACTTTTCTCGATATTTTTATTAAATGGTAAAGTGACCGTAAACATCCAGTATAATTGATCGTAATGTCATCAAAATAAATAAAAAAGAGCAAATAAATATCAGAACATTAAACAAACGAACAAAGACGAAAGAAATTAAAATCACCGCACACAATACACGGATAACAAGAAAAAAAGAATGCTATATATTCTTCATAGGCGAAATGAACAAGTAATATAAGGTTCAACTGCTAAATAGACACTTCCGAGTTGTGCAAAATCTGTGCATTAAGAAACGAAATGAATATCAGGAAAATATCTGAGTAAAGACGAAAAAAGAGTGAAATGATCTTTTGTATCTATATTACATAGAAAATTCGTGAATTTGTCATACTTCGTTCAGCTTCAATTAATGCAAGAAATTAATCACAGTCTTTAACTTTCTTTTAACATGAGCTACACCTTCGTAGTTATATTCAGTTTTTCTTTAAGATCACTTTTTGCCTTCGTAGAAAATTGTTGTAAATCTCTGTTTTATTGAGTGCGACAAATCACCATGACACGGATTTCGAACTTGCTCAACTATCTCATCAGATGCAATAGTCCTAGTGAATTTAGGTGAATGTAGGTGTGGATATGCGTGAACTCAGTGAAGACCCACACCCGACACTCATGTGACCCATCACAGACCGTGGCAGATTGGGTCTAGAGGTCATTATAAACTGTGATAGAAGACTTCGAGGAAATGTCAGAGATAATGCATAACTAACATATGATTGAAGCATAGGTGGAGTATTACCCTGTTCAAAGTCTATAATGTAAGGTAAACCATTATGGAGGAATGTACTCCAGCATGCATAAAAAACGACAGCTTTTAGAACATCGGCACTAGCAGCTACATCTGGTTTCACATTATTAATCTCAGAAGGCATTGCGCCAACAGCTTTTATATAGAGAAAACAGCATACAAATAAAAAATCTATTACACAAAAAAAGATAATAGTTACGAAGGTTTATATATAAAAAAATTGAAGAGTGCTTCGCGAGGATAAATAGCGCGATTTGTATGCATATTACATGACAGCTTCTTATGTACAACTGGTAATTGTTCCCATAAATCATGTTCTATGTAATTTGCGATAATGTAATCTATACCGATTCTTAAGTGTCGATCTGTCGGTGTATGGCTTTATTAGATTAGAATTAAGTGCAATTGGATAAACTACAATTATTACAAATTGATGAAATATTACAACGTCCTAGCTCTCCTATGTTAACATAAGTAAACAATGAACTTGACTTTACTATAGCGATCAGAACTATCGAATGACGTTTATTATAATTAAAGTAATCAGTTTCGAAACCGAGTGATGGCCTAATAGCAATATCCATATCATCCAACGCTTCAAAAGATACAGAATAACCACATTTAATTAAAACACAATTGATGATTTCTTTAATCTTAGCGTCTGTGTTTGGAAATTTAATAAATAGATAGAAAATTTTGTCAACTAAAATAGAACAAAATTTGCGCAGAATTTCAACTGCAATGCTTCTGCCTATACCAAACAAGTATCCAGTTGTTCTAAATTCACTGGATGATCCCAAAGGATGGGGGTAGGTGTGACAAGCTGCAATTACACTACTTTCGATCTTGCTCAAGGATCTCATCAGATAAGGTATGGTTGTGGTGTGGCTCTGGCTCTGACTATGTCAAGAATTGCTTACTTCTTAGACAACTACACACACACCCAGCTGAAATTATTATAAAATCACTTGAGTATCATCTCAATCTCAATCACGTCAGTTTCTATGTGAGATATAGTTTAGACAAAATATTGAAGTATGAACTATATTTTAATCTTTTCGATGACATGAGCTTATGCCCCAGGTTATGTACTTACTAGATAAAATAACAAGAACAAACGATCGAACTCATCAAGTAAAAGATCGATTGTTTCGATTGTATCTTGATCTAAAATAGATGACTCTGCTAAGTTCATGGAAAACGCCAAAAACTTCAAATGTTTGAAATATCGTCTAGGTAAAGTTGATTTGAAGAACCTATAAATAAATAATAAT